TGTGTGTGTGTGTGTGTCTGTGTGTGTGTCTGTGTGTGTGTCTGTGTGTGTGTGTGTGTGTGTGTGTCTGTCTGTGTGTGACTGTGACTGTGTGTGTGTGACTGTGACTGTGTGTCTGTGACACTGTGACTGTGTGTGTGTGTGTGTGTCTGTGTGTGTGTGACTGTGACACTGTGACTGTGTGTGTGACTGTGTGACTGTGTCTGTCTGTCTGTGTGTGAGTTTTTAGGTCAGCCAATGAAACTCAGTCCCGCGACGGAGGAAATCGTCACGTTCTACGCTAAGATGCTGGATCACGAATACACCAGTAAAGAAGTGTTTCAGAACAACTTCTTCAGTGACTGGAAGGAGGTCAGAACCAGCATCAGCTATTATAGAATTATTAAAGCCTTTGTTATTATTTTAAGTTCGATTTTATTTGTAGATTTTCTTTCCACTTTAAATTTAGGTAGTCTTTGTCATTTTGTGTTTTTTTTTTTGTTATTTTCATCAGTTTTTCTTTTAAATATGTCTGTATAGGTTTTATGATAAGTCTCTTAAATAAAATCATTGTATTCCTCATTTGTAAGTTGCTTTGGATAAAAGTGTCTGCTTAAAGGCATATGTAAGATTTTTTTATAAAATATCCAAAAACCACTTGCGCAGTGTGATATATTTCATGCAGTAGTGTACTTGCGTTATCCCAAAAGTTCCCAAGGATTTGTAAATCCAGAGAAATTCCAATTTTCATAAAATTGTTTTAGATATTTTAGTACTTGGTTAACTTCAGGTTAGTACTTAAAAAAAAAATTATATTTTCAGTTAATGTTTCTTTTATTTCAAGTTTTGTTTTTTGTGTGTAACCTTAAAAGTTGGTTTAGTTTTAGTTAATGATGATAACCCTGGAGTGTAAAGCAGACTTTGATCAGACGTGTATCTTAGTGATAAATGAACAGAATTGAGTTGTGTTCAGGAAATGACTAAAGAAGAGCGGAAGCTGATCAAGATGCTCTCCAAGTGTGACTTCAGTCAGATCCACAAGTATTTCGTGGAGAAGTCTGAGGAGCGTAAGAATATGACGAAGGAGGAGAAGCAGGTGCGTCTGTCTCTCTGGGCTCCTGTTGATCTGCTGGACTTCAGTCTGACTCCAGACGTGTCTCAGTCAGGTCCTGAAGGAGGAAGCCAGCCGGCTGATGGAGGAGTACGGCTTCTGTCTGCTGGATGGACACCGCGAGAAGATCGGGAACTTCAAGCTGGAGCCGCCGGGGCTGTTCCGCGGCCGAGGAGAACATCCTAAGATGGGCAAGCTGAAGAAACGCATCCAGCCCGAGGACGTGACCATCAACTGCAGCCAGTGAGACACACACTCTCACACACACACTCTCACACACACACACTCTCACTCTCTCACACACACACACTCTCACACACACTCACTCTCACTCTCTCTCTCTCTCTCTCTCTCATACACACACTCACACACAGACACTCTCTCACACACACACAGCCCAAGGACGTGACCATCAACTGCAGCCAGTGAGAGAGAGACTCACTCACTCACACAGACAGACAGACAGATACTCACACAGACAGACAGACACTCAGACAGACAGACAGACACTCACGCACTCATTCACTCACAGACAGACACTCACACAGACAGACAGACACTCACACAGACAGACAGACTCACGCACTCATTCACACAGACAGACACTCACACAGACAGACAGACAGACACTCACACAGACAGATTCACGCACTCATTCACTCACTCACTCACAGACAGACCGACCGACTCACTCGTGCACGCGCGTGTGTGCGCACACACACACACACAGACAGACTCACGCACTCATTCACTCACTCACTCACAGACAGACTCACTCACTCACTCACTCACTCACAGACAGACAGACTCACGCACTCACTCACTCACTCACTCACTCACTCACAGACAGACAGACTCACGCACTCACTCACTCACTCACTCACTCACTCACTCACACACACAGACAGACAGACTCACGCACTCATTCACTCACTCACTCACTCACTCACACAGACAGACAGACAGACTCACGCACTCATTCACTCACTCACTCACAGACAGACAGGCAGACAGACCGACCGACTCACTCGTGCACGCGCGCGCGCACAGACAGACAGACAGACAGACAGACAGACACTCACACACACACACACACACAATTGCAGTTGCGTGAAATAGTCAAAATAGTGAAGTCACAATGTCACAATATTCATTGGAAACAGGTTTCCATAGATTTCTCAGGGCCCTATTATTTATTTACCTTTTAAAGTAATTAAATTTATTAATTTGTGAATTCTATTATTTAGACGTCTTTTTTAATTATTAAAATTTGATAGAACTATTATAACAGAATCCAGAAAAAAGAAAAACTGAGTTTAGAGAAAAGTAAAGCTGATTTTGCAGAGGTGTTTGATTTCTCATGGATCGCTGCTGGCGTCTGATTTTCTCTCGGCAGAGACTCGAAGATCCCGGCACCCCCTGCAGGCCACCACTGGAAGCGCGTGCAGCACGATAACACGGTCACATGGCTGGCGTCATGGCTGGAGAACATTCACGGACGACCCAAATACATCATGCTAAACCCCAGCTCCAAGCTCAAGGTGCGTCTGCACTCACGCTGAGGAGTAGTAGTACAGGTCGATACCGATAGTGGATTTTACCGATAGCTATGTTTTTAACCAATTAATCGACCGATCGTGGATTTTACCTAGGTTTTAACCGATTAATCGACCGATAGTGGATTTTACCTAGGTTTTAACAGATTAATCGACCGATAGTGGATTTTTACCGATAGCTAGGTTTTAACCGATTAATCGACCGATAGTGGATTTTTACCGATAGCTAGGTTTTAACCGATTAATCGACCGATAGTGGATTTTTGCCGATAGCTAGGTTTTAACCGATTAATCGACCGATAGTGGATTTTCCCGATAGCTAGGTTTTAACCGATTAATCGCCCGATCGTGGCTTTTCCCGATAGCTAGGCTGGACCACACTGGTCGATACCGATTAATCGACCGATGGTTTTTTAAATGGATACTGGATGGAAACTAAAATAATTCTTTAAAAAAAAATAAAAAGTACTGAACCATTCTTTGTAAATGAATAAAAAAATATTAATTATATTTTGATCATTAAAGTTTGTTCTTAGTGCATTAATGTTAACAAAAGCAACTTCAAAATGTAAAAATATATCAGTAAATGTTGAAATTAACACAATAACAAGGAACAATACTTCTATTCTACAGCTTTTATCAATCTTAGCTAATGTTACAAATGGACTCTTATTGTAAAGTGTTACCATTTCATATCCACCGTCATGCTGAAGATGGCCATCTTTAAATATCTACACAAAGGCCATAGTATTGAAATCACATGCATATGGATGTTGTTTACTCAAACAGTTTAACCGCTTCTATTCTAGAACACCTGTGATTATCTAATCAATTTAACAATGTTTACAACTCGCTGATAAATGATAAACAATGATAAAAAAGCAGCATAGATGAATTTAAAGTTGGGTGTTTAAAACAACAGAGCAAATGGAAAGAGAGAGCGCAATCTAGCTCTCTTTATGAAGCATACAGACTTTATTAGAGCCACAGAAAGACGATCGTTTCACAATACTCGATCTTCCAGACCAGGGTGAAGTCTTTGTGCATTAACAACGAATTGAGATCGATGTGATGTATGTCAGTTTGCTTTCTCACGTCTCTAGCTTTAAATATGCAACTTTGCTGGTTAACAAATGCATTAATGTGACTAGCTGGATATAAACTAATGCAAATAGAAAAACTATCGGCATGGATTTTTGCCGATAACCGATAATTCCGCCAATCAAATATCGGTGCCGATTAATCGGTCGACCTCTGAGGAAGGTGATGATGATGGTCTGTGTTCAGGGCGAGAAGGACTGGCAGAAGTACGAGACGGCGCGGCGGCTGAAGATGAAGGTGGACTCCATTAGGAAGCAGTACAGACGCGACTGGACCTCCAGAGAGATGAAGAGCCGACAGAGAGGAGTCGCCATCTACTTCATCGACAAGGTCACACTCCAGATAGACACGGCTGACGATTTAATCACAGAAGATATAATGCATTCATATGATAAACACCCAGAGCTGTCTGTCATCTCACACTGATGCTGGTGGTCACGACTCTATCAGAACGCAGTTATATGAGCTGATAATTCCAGATAAGAGCACGAAAAAAAATCCCCCTCTTATATTTATATCATATGATGTAGTTTAGCAATATCACACTAGCAAGAGTTTTTTTTTTCTGGTGTGGTGTCTTTATAGACCCTTGAACTTGGTCAATAGGACATTGCACACAGCTGTATTATGCCATCAGCCCATTTCGAGTCATGGTTTCTCCACCGTGTGTTAAAGTGGACATTAGGCCTTGATATTAGAGGTGCTACCATAAGGAAAGCCAAATACATCTCATTTAATTCATGTGCATCCCTGCTCTCATTTTCTCCATAGTAAGATGGCAGTGACACACAAAGGAAATAGATGATAGTATATGTAAAACTAGATGTTTTAATCCATAAGAGAATGCATAAAAAATTCCCATGTGCGTGTGATTTAGATTCTCAAGGGCGCAGAAAAGTTTCTCGTGCGTGCAAGAGTCTTTTTTTTTATTTTATTTTATTTTATTTTATTTTTTTTTTTAAGGGGTTCAGTATGTTGATCAATGAATAAACCCCTGAGAAAATACAAAATATTTACAGATGACCGTACTATATACCAAATAGTATAAATGTGACCCTGCAGCACAAAAGCAGTGTTAAGTCGCTGGGGGATATTTGTAGCAATAGCCAACAACACATTGTATGGGTCACAATTATACATTTCTCTTTTATGCCAAAAATCATTAGGATATTAAGTAAAGATCATGTTCCATGAAGATATTTAGTAAATGTCCTACCGTAAATATATCTAAACGTAATGTTTGATTAGTAATATGCATTGCTAAGAACTTCATTTGGACAACTTTAAAGATGATTTTCTCAATATTTAGATTTTTTTGCACCCTCAGATTCCAGATTTTCAAATATTGTCCTCTCCTAACAAACCATACATCAATGGAAAGCTTATTTAAATCATAAATCATAATTTTAAAAAATTGACCCTTAAAACTGGTTTTGTTCTCCAGGGTCTCAAATCTGAAAATAATGCTCCTTTTATGTTCAATATGGTTTGAAGGTCTACTGAAAGGTTTGGAAATTTGAAATGGAAAATGGTTAATTTAGATTTCTCTGCCAAAATTGATGTGCGATTTAATTTGCAATGAGTTAAGATGAATTGATTGGCCCGTCATGTAATTAATTAGATAAATGTTGAATTGCTTGATAGCCCTAATAGACTTGGTGTGTGTTGGTGTCGTGTGTTCAGCTGGCGCTGCGAGCGGGGAACGAGAAGGACGACGAGTCGGCTGATACGGTGGGCTGCTGCTCTCTGCGTGTCGAGCACATCACGCTCCACCGGCGTCTGGACGGACAGGAACACGTGGTGGAGTTCGACTTCCTGGGCAAAGACTCCATCCGCTACTACAACAAAGTGCCTGTGGAGAAACAGGTCAGACGCAGGGCTGGGACAGTTTTCAGATTTTATCGGTTAATTCGAATTTGATGTTTTGCAACGATTTTATGTTTTAGGTTATGTTTTCATTCTAAAATGAGAAATGAAAACCTTTTTTTTTAAGCTAACTGATTTAAACTCTCACTGCCTTTAGTGAGTTCTCAGTGTGGTTAATATGTAGCGCTCATGATATATAATGCACTACTTCACATGATTATAAATGGATACATTGTATTGACACCCAATCAGTGTGACGTGATTGTATCAGCTGTGTTTGTCGTGATTGATTGTGTGTTAATGTGATTGTCACTCGCAGGTTTTCAAGAATCTGAAACTGTTCATAAAGCATAAGGATCCAGAAGATGATTTATTTGACCGAATTACAGTAAGTGTGTTTGCATATCACTGTTATGATTCAATCACCAGTTATTTTATTAATGAATTTTATAATAAAAAATGAGATGTTGCATTGGAAACCAGCTTGGATAGAATACACTTTTAAATCAAGTAAAAAATATTTTTTTGTGTTTACGTCTGAATCTCATGTTCATGATGGTTTGGGTTCTGTTGTGTTCAGACGGTCAAACTCAACAAAACCCTGAACGAGTGCATGCCTGGACTGACGGCCAAAGTGTTTCGAACCTTCAACGCCTCGACCACGCTGCAGGATCAGCTCAACAAACTCACCACAGGTGTGCCTGACCCTTGACCTCTGACCCCACCTGGAGCGTATCTGAAATCAATGACCTGCATCTTAGAAATATTCACAAAGCTGTGTGTCTGGTGTTTCAGAGGGCATGACGGTGGAGGAGAAGATCCTGTCGTATAACCGAGCAAACAGAGCCGTGGCCATCCTCTGTAACCACCAGAGGGCAGCACCCAAAACCTTCGAGAAGTCAATGCAGCTGCTGCAGGAGAAGGTGAGACACACCATCATCATCATCATCATCATCCTTGCAGAACAACACCTGAGCTGATCTGAGCTCAGTAATGACACAGGTGCCTTCTGAGAGTCAATGCACACTCATTCATACTGCGCTTTATACAGAACTGATCCATTCAAAGCAGCAGTAAACCGGAAAACAACTGAGAAATTCATCCGTTATGAAACTAATTCAGTTTCAGTTCTACAGGGGACAATAGAGGTATTATTCAGATCTCGTCTGATAGTATCTGTGTGTTTAATAATTATATTGAATATTAATTCTCGTAAACCCCAATAGAGCTGCTTTACAGCTGAAATGTAGTTAGCTTGCTTTGAATCGGTCTCGCTGTATACAGTGTTGTGTGAAGAGTGTCTCTGAGTGTCGTTGAGTTCAGTCAGACGCTCCTGACCAGTTTCTGAGGTCAAACCTTATTGGATTCCAGGTGGGTTTGTACCTGCAGGGAAGTGCAGCGGTTTGAGCTGTAGAGGACGAGGCGGTCAGAAATAATCACAGCGATGATGGAAACCGCAGAGCGACGTCCAGTCGTTTAGACTCACGGGTCACACGCTGCTTAATGCACTGCGAGCTGAATACAAACACACACACACTCACTCGCGCGCGCACACACACGAGAGAGCCGCCGGCGGTCA